ATATTTTCTAGTTTTGATAAAAAAGTGTTGGTTGGAACCGTATCGAAAGCATTAGGTAAATCCAAGAATATTGTGAGGACTTTTTTTGTGGTCATTAAGCTTACCTACAAAGAAAGTAGTTAGTTCGTGAATAGCGTCAGAAGTGGATTTGTTTTTACGAAATCCAAACTGCTGGAACGAGATAGTATCACAGTGCTCCAGATATTTTACTAGACGCCTCTTGATCAAACGTTCCATAATCTTGGATAAGGCACTAAGCACTGCAATAGGGCGATATTTATTAACCAGATTCCCATCACCACCCTTGAAGATTGGATAGATGATAGCCCTCTTGACCGAATTAGGAAAGACAGAAGATTCCAGACAGAGATTATAAATATGGGCTAAAATAGGTGCTAGAATAAAGGAGTATCGCTTTAAAAAAACTCGGAGGAATTCCGTCCCAGCCGTTAGCTGCATTATTTTTAACCTCCTGAGTCCTGAACGTGTTGATAGGAAAATTTAAAAAAAAAATGTTTTAACTGCGTCTAGGGGGGTTTTTAGTACGAGAAAAAATAGAAAAAAAAATACATCGTTTTTCCCACAAGGTTTTTCCTTATGTTCTCGTACGAGTACAAGCGGACTGTGTCATCACATGAGTACACTTTAAAATAAAACTACAATTAAATGAAAATCAACTTTATTTTCCTTATTTTTTTAGTATTTAGTTTTGGCATCACAAATATTCTAAATAAACACAGAAAAACTTATTTTCAAAGGAAAAACAAAACAAAAATCTAAGAAACTCTGATTAACAGGAAAGAACTAATGAAAATCAACATTTAAACAAAAATCTCAAAACGAATTAAGCAAGTTAATAAGTGATTTAATTTTGTCTGTGTCTGTGGATTCTAAAACAAAAGATGACAGATTAGATTTTTCTGAGTTGGTTCCTTTTAGTAGAACTGTGCGATTGTTGTCAATTTTTTGCGCAAACTCCTTCCCGATGTTGGTAAAGAACTTATTAACGTTATTTAACGACTGAATTGGTGATAAAGAGGATAATAATTGCTGTGCACTCGATTGTCGAGATTTTTCGGTATAAGTGACATTTTTTATAGTGTCCCATAGATCTTTGCTGTTTTTACTTGCTTTTTTTATTTGCTCTGAATCATAGTGCCTTTTCACCTTTTTTAATATTTTCATGCAGAAATTTCTGTATCTTTTATATGTTATATTAAGTGTTAGATTGTTTGGATCTTGTTTTAACTTTCTATGTAAAGAGTATCTGTTATGGATACATCTTAATAGATCTGGTTTTATCCATGGTTTGAGTATCCTCTTTTTTGCTGACAATTTAGTAATATAAGTATTGTCGAGTATAGCTTGAGATATAAAATATATAAAGGTATCCGTTGCTATGTTAGGAACTTCGAGAGTTAGAATAGGTTTAAGATCTATTTGTTCCATTATTTTGTCTAATGTTATATAGTTAATTTTCGAGATTGTTTTAGGAGGTTTGAGACGTGTGTTTTTGTTTTGATGCATACTATTGAGGAGTAGTGATCGGAGATAGTTATATCAAGTACAACAGTTACAACTGAAAATTTAGTTCGCAAAAAAATTATGGTCAAGGCAGTTGTTACCTCTAGTTGGGAAGGTATGAGCAGGTAATAGCCCATGTCAGGCAAGACAATTTAAATAGTCATGTGAGTGGTTATTGGAGGTTTTAATATCAATGTTAATGTTTCCGGTTAGTATAACAGTTTTGTATTTTGAGAGTAACGGAGGTATGCTGTTTAAGGCAGAGAGAAATGTATTAATATTTTCATTAGATGGTGATCGATATATGCAGAGCACTACTATATCAGAATTGATTTTAATTATTAGTCTGGAAGCTGATTCGTTAAAGTCTGGCTCTTCAAAGATCGAAGACAAGGATGTTTTTATGTATACAAGAACACCATCGCTTTGATTAAAGTGCTTGGAAGTTTTATGAATTGTACAGTTGGGTAAACTGGTAATATAATAATTACTGGAACAGGATAGCCAACCTTCAGTCAATGTCAAAATATCACAATCAAACGAAATACGCTGTAAGGTTGTCTGTAAATTTAAAAAGTTGTAGTTGATGGATCAAATATTTTGGTTAAAAAACGTTATATACCTATTTGGGTTTTGCAATATTTGATTGGATTGTTCGATGGTACAGGAAAGCGATTCGGAAACTGAAAGCTTGTCAACGTTTTCAATTAAAGTATTAATGTCATTAGCCATTTTTGTGTTTTGCATGAAGGGTAGAAAGGTTCGTTGAATAGACTGTAGTAAAGATGGAGTTATTATCAGTTGTGCAATTTGCTGAACCGAAACATCGACGTGGTATTTCTACATACGATAGCGCTAGAGGCTGGAAAGTGCTAAAATATAAATGTTAATAATATAATAGTTTACATTGAGTGTAATATTATAGTTTATGTTTTGTATTGATTTTATGGAAATGTTTTGTCGAATTTATGGAAATGCGTCGCAGAAACGGTAATGAGTTCCGCCCCCTCTCCATCCACTGCGTTTGCAGTTTGTAAAAGTGGGTTGGGACTTTGACGAGCGAATCAAAGGCGATCAGCCGCGACTAGGCGAGTTAGTGGTGGTGTGAGAGGCGAGGCAGTTCAATAACAACAAGAAGATAGAGACTCACTGCGATTTCTGTACTCCTGGTACTTCGTGCGAAATATTAATATTAGATTATGCTCAACCTTACGAATATTGCACGCACCAAGAACACGTACACACTGGTTGGCGTCCAAAGGGGAAGGTCATATTTGCTCTGGTTGAATAGGAAGAAGACAGAACAGAAACACACACGATCCTCTCTCTTTTTCTTTTCTTTTTATCCCACTCCCTTTCTTATATCCTAACCCAATCCAAAGTGTTAAGCGTACCGTGCCGATGGATGCGTGGCGGGGGGGGGGGGAGGGAGGTTGGAGTAGTAGTAAACACTGCCTACCCTAGGCCAGTGCCTTTCGGGTAGTATTTTAGCCCTACCCTCGGCATACCGAGCTCTACCGGAGTGAACGAATATTTCCCTAGCTAATCGTGGCATCGAAATGGATGAAGATCGACACTTTAACAAAATCAACTCTTCTTTAATGGAACTATCTGTAGGTCCATAAGAGGCTCTTTTAACCCTGCAACACAACGCCCCAATCTGGGACAAGCCGTGAATTGGAGAGCACGTCTGCAGTCAAACCACAATTGGAAACGAACCTGCACAGCTAGCATGGGCTGGAGACAAAAAATTTATACCCCGATTATATCGACTGACAAAAGATAAAATTATCTTGTCCTTATGCCAAAGCACAGAAATGGGGAGAAGTATATCCCCGTTCGACATAACGAGTAGACATATATCCCCCGTCCGTAGCGTGGAGCCAAATGAAAGATAAAAAAAATATCCTTTTTTGACATTTGAAAGGGACAATTTTATCCTAGTTCATTGGACGTGGGTTTAAGTTTATATTCATACAAAAAATCTATCTAAGTCTAAGTCTATCTCCCATTTTATCTACTGTTGATATTATATCCACCGGTGTGCCCATGCTCTAAGGGCGGATAAAACTAAGCGAGGGGATAAACATTTTCTCCTTTCCCCGGGGATAAATTTGTGTCCTGTCCATGCTAGCCTTGCAGGGAGGGGAAATGAAAAAGTTTGCTAAGCTTCAGTGGGGCAGCATGGAAGAGATACAGGAGGCTGATAGCAGCTGAGATAGGAGCCGAAGAGGCTCTCTCTCTCTCTGCCAGAAGTCCTGGGACGAAATTCCTCTGCCCAAACCTTCTCCAGTTCCGAAGGCGAAAAAACGCAGTCGGTATGAGGAGGAGTCTCACAAAGATCAGCCCAGGAAATCTGTAAAGCTGGCAACGGGGGAGAAGAAGCTCAGCCTCAGTACCGTAGCTGACTCCGCGCGAATAGGAATTCACAATTCTATAAGCGTGGAGCAGATGCGGCTGTTCAACCAGGTACTAACACAGGCTATTGCTAAGACAACCAGCCAGAACTACCATTCTCCACTGAAGTTAAGTACTTAACAACGTATGTCATAAGGCTAAAATTGATTTAGGTACGTATGATTGGGAACAACTGGGGCTTGCGTCCCAGTATGGTCCTATGGTTGTACAGCAGCATAGTGAGTCCGATTCTTACCGACGCCTCCACTGTCTGATGTGATAAGCCCACCGAAAAGACGACTGCAAATAGAGTAAACAGTCTACAAAGGACTGCCTGTTTAATGCAACTGGAACGATGAGATCACCGCCTGGAGTGACTCTTGACGAGAAGATGTGTCGTCATCTCCCGAACGCAGCCCAGCCGAGTCTAACCCATCGATTGACATCTCGGTCGAAGTTGGACTTGCCTAAGAAAAACCTAGTCGCACAATTTTCCCCAGGTAAACATTCTCGTCAAAAACTTCGAGCATAGTACTTCCAACAACTAAGTGCATAGGTGTGCCATGGACATTACATATGACATTTGTTTTGTTTTGTTCATGTTCATCTTAAGACCTATCCTTTGGAAGACTTTTGATCCAGTGATTCCCCCATAAGAAATATATTGTATACTCGCCACAATTTCTTCCACCTCTCTGCAGTTGGATAAGTTACATCAGCAGTCGTAATGTTCTCATATTCATCACCAAAATTAAACTTTTATAAAAATAAGTAATAATTGTTTCTTGAATAAATTTATTCCTTGAAAAATTTATACAGTTTCTTATAAATGCTGTGCTGTATGTTGTTGTGCTATAATGAAAATAAAAAATTATCACTTTCTTATAATAAGTAAAGATAAAAGGTTTTATATATTCTGATAAACCTTTATAAAGCAAACTTACTTTATTTGTTACTATTAGTTATATAGTGATACGAGTGTATCTACATTAAGCAGTAAATTACATTAATAAAAATATTTTTTTTGTTTTCAACATACTTTGAAAACTTTACAATTTTTATAGATACGAATAATAAGAATGGCTACATCCAACAAGAGCTATCCTGTAGAAATTCGTGATATCGAACCTGAACAAGTTGAAAAATGGAAGAAATCTTTCCGAAGTAAGTGAAATGAAAGCACTCTGATGTCAGTCGAATCTCTCAATAATACTCATAACTGTTTCATCAGACATTTCCACCACCATATCTAAAGAATGTTCCGATTATATACTTTGATTTTTTATTTTTCATTACTTAGACATTCAGAATGCAAGCTGTAGCTTTTTATGTATATTATGTACGTCAGCACGTACCATACGAAACACGGCAGCATTAAGATGCTATTTAACGCTGGTATTCTGTGAGAGTCTAGTCCCTTTACATTTTGATAAGTTTTCTTTTAAGAAACAAGAGTGACAAACAAAGACACAGTCCATCTGACAGTAAGTGGTTGCTATGGCTCATAAATACCCATGTATATATTGTATACTAGCTGATCCGGCGAACTTCGAACCGCCTAACCGTCGATTCTTTTTTTTTAATATGTATTCAGCTATTCGGGACACCGGGTCGAGCTAGTAAGATAAAAAAAGAAAAAAGAAAGTTGATAAGTCAACAATTAAATTATGTCAAAAAATAAAAATTATAAAACAATTAAAATTATTTTAATAGTCACTAAAATCACAATGAAAATTACAATTCCTGATTTCTTATTATGATACGTACACAAATATTGACATTAATATTTATACAATACTAACGTCACTCAATTGTTTTGCCTTCCCGGAAGCGCTGGTAGGATTCTTAGTCTTAGTAACTCTTAGCGCATCTGCAGTCCGCCAATACGCACTGGAGCAACGCGGTGGACAAATTGTATTCCGTAGCCCTCACACATGAGAGGAGGCCTGTGCCATACAATTGGCGTACAAAAGCTATAAATGTAATTTTTTATCTTTTACGCTTTTATTCGTGCTGCAACTATAATACGTTTTAGCATGTCTCTACCAAGTTTTAGATTTTAGAGCAAGTCTAGATTAGTGATAGCAGCACTAGACGTCTTACTTACTCGATTTTACCAGTTGTATGACAATATGATGACGATAGGTGGTAAATGTACCGTTATCCAAATTATTAACAAATATTTACGTTATTTTTTGAACCAGTAACAATGAATCCATTCACACTGCGTTTTGGGCCCAAAGGTTACCTCTTCCCTAGAGAGTTTGAGAACGTTGGTAAAGAGATATACAACATGGACGTTAGACCGAATGATACCTTTGTTGTAACTTTTCCTAAGTCAGGTACGTATATCTATACATATAATAAAATTGTAAATAGCAGATGTCTGTACATTTTATATTTTTGTAATAAAAGTGATTGAGGGGTACTAAAAATAAGTAATTAAATACATTTCTACCATTTTTAGAATTTTCTGTCTGTCTGTCTGTCTGTCTGTCTGTCTGTTTGTTTGTTAACGTATCACGTTTAAAGTACTAATTTATATCATAAGAATTGTTAAGGAAATTATAAAGTAAACCTTCGGGTTACATTTAGTCTTTATTTCATTAAAATCGGTTCATTCCATCAAAAGTTATGATAAATATTCTGAAGTATGGGTAGGGAATTTGCTCAACGGTGGCTTTGTTTGAGTCATCAAGTTAATGTTAGCAGCGCGATCTCTCTTTAAATATATACATATAATAAAAATGATGATAACATGTGTCTCTTTCTGTACATTGTATATATATATTATGGTGACTAAAATCATTATGGGGAACTAAAAATAATTAAATAAGTACATTTTTATAATTTTTAGAATTGTCTTTCTGTCTGTCTGTTTTTATATGAAAGCATCACGTCTAAAGTAAACATCTTTTTTTTTTTCAAAAAATCGTTAAGAAAATCATAAAGCGTATCTTCGAGTTACATTTAATCTTTGTTTTATTAAAATTGGTTAATTCTATCGAAAGTTATGATTATTATTTTGAAATGTAGGTTCGAATTTGTTTAATGGCGCCACAAAATCTCAGAAATAGTAATAAAAAGATACGTGTGTAAAAAAAAACGTTCTATTATAATATATTTATACTTAAAACACAGTAAAAAAATATATGTTTTCCTTAAATTAAAAAAGGATGTTTTCTCACAAAGAACGTAATAGATGGCGTTGTACAAATTACAACCTTTTCTGAATTGCGGTGTTAAGATTTTTCGCAGGTGAATCGTATTGACACTCACTGAAAAATTTTATGTTCATGATTCATGAGTTCGACGAAGCTGCAAGACTGTTTGAGCCGTGTAGGCTATCAACACAAAGCACAAACACCGACAGAAACAGAAAAAAGAGACGTACCGCGTACGTCGAAATTATTCAACAAAACTCGAAAACTCGACTAAAAGTAGTAAATTTGCAATAAATGTCGTGATATTGTTTTATACCCAGAATCCCTCTAAACCTCTAATACCAAATAACTTTCCTTACAGTTTTAAGATAGGGATAATAACATCGATGATGACATCGATGTTGGCATCGATAGCTCAACATCGATGTTCGATGTTTAGGCTACTCAAAACATCTATGATGATCATTATCGATGGTTTTTGTATATGTGTAGATACTTACAAATTGTTTTAAAATTATGTGGGTATACACATCAAGGGAAAAGTAACTATTAACTTGAATATCAATTTACGTAGAATAGTTATTATGCGACAACCGATAACGACACTACAAAATAAAGCGAAAGCAGTGACCATTGTGACATCACAGGTGACACTTGACAATTAAGTTTGACTCACCATACTGACATTTTTTTAGGTTAACGATGCGTTCAGGAATTCTGAATTATTCAAAATTTTTAATCTTCAGAGCAGATGCAAGATTTAGTTGATATTGATTTCGCGAGTTCGCATTGTTTGCAAGTTCCCAATTATCGATTATGGGTTCATTGACGTCGATGTTTCGATGTTTGACATGTGTCAACATCGATGTTAAAACATCGAAGTTTTAATTTTTAACATCGATGATCATCTAACATCCCTATTTTAAGTGTGTTTCCCACTCAGCGTGTGTTATGCGACGATCGTAAATAAAGCGCAAGGTCAAACTTTACGCGTTGTAGGAGTGGACCCCAGTACTGATTGTTTTGCACATGGCCAACTCTATGCCAACCTTTTTCTGTACGCCCCGGCTAAGTCTACTTCTATCGTCGTTTACACGGAAGCTCTATCATAAACGACTTAGAACTTTGAGCGTATCGATTTATTTTGTTACCCCTTATCCATACCGTAATGATATAAATCGTTTAATATTCTCTTACCCTAAACGTCAAATTCTTTAAGTAAAACCTATATTCGCGAGCTACGCCGCGGGCACAGCTAGTTATAAATATTGTTGGACTTTATAATCTTTAATTAGCTATGTATGTGTGCTATATATGTAATTCAATGAGTTATATGTATTAACTAGCTGTTCCCCGAGACTTCGCCCGCGTTTAGTTTATTACGATTTCTATTTCATGGGCTTTATTATTTGCGCAGAACCCTAATTCTATGTCTAAAAGAAAATTAGCTTTAGTTACTCCTTGTAACATCAGCTACCTGCCAGTGAACGTCTTTCAAAATTGGTTCAGCCATTTCGGAGATTATCAGGTACAAACAAACAGATAGACAGACAGACAAAAATTTAAAAAATTGTGTTTTTGTTATAAGTATTGAACGTAATATATTTGTATGCATTTAGTAAAAAGCTGTTAAAGTAGACACTACAAACAGACAAGTAATTTTTATTTATTTGTATAGATCAGAATAGACGATTGAATAATATTTTTAGATTATCCAATATTTTATCATTTATATAATTTCCTTTCCATCGAATTTCTTTTTTTTGCCTTGAACCATTTTTAGCTGGAAATAGTTTTTTTCATGAATTTGCTATCAGACTTACATTAATAGAATGGCCACATACTTTAATGGAATCGAAAAACACATATTATATAATACGAATTTTTACTTAAACGACATAACTTCAACGAAAAACATATTAATTATTAAATGTTCTGGTACATGGCGCGGTGCTACGTTATGACCAGTGAAAGTTATGAGAATCTTTAAAATTAAAATTATTAAAATCTTTAAATTTAAATTATGAGTATAGTGAGAGTTTCGCTATTATCGTATATTCTAAAAAACTAACTTAATATTCTTTTTTTATTTATTTACATTGTTCAAATATGGAATAAAATAAAATCTAACTAAAAGGTTACATACAATATTAGCACACTATATTAAAGTATAACAAAAACAAAAAATTTTAATTATCATACATTCCTACTCCCCATGGCATCGTACCAAGGACGCTGACTGCGTTTTCTTCGCTGAATTGCTAAAATTTAGCTTATGGCTTAATAACTAATTTTTGAATGATATCGCTATTTTTATTATAAAATCCGCCCCGACTTTTCACGAGTAATGTCTGGATCTTGACAACAACGCCAACTGCCGTGTTCAGTTGAGGTTTTAGACCATCCAGGGGTTTTTAAACTCAAATGCCCCAAAAATATATCTTCAAAATCGGTCGAACCAATTAATAATAAATTAAGGGAGTAATTGATTTTTATGTGACATAGAGATTTTACCACGATATATTTTAAAAGTCAAAATATTCAAAGAAATTTATACATTAACATCATATGTAAATTTGTAGTTGATTAATTTATATACTTATTGCACTTATATATTTATGATTTTAAACTGAAGAAGAAACATAATAGGTACCTACTATTTTTATTTTTAATAGAAGACACTGCCTAAAGCTTGTGAGTTTCTTTGTGTTGTTATGTTAACATTTGTACGAATTCTAATAAACATCAATTACAGGTACAACATGGACACAGGAACTGGTTTGGCTTATTTTAAACAACTTTGATTATGAAAAGGCATCGGAAACCCCACTGACCATAAGATATCCTTTTTTGGAGTAAGTTATTAAAAATATACCTTGGTCGAAACCTGTGTTGTTACTAAAGATAATACTTTTTTTTATTTAATACACTTTTTTGCTTTAATCTGTATTTTATAAGTGTAAAATAAAGTTACATTATTATTATTAACATAAAGATATAGGCTGATTAAAACTTAGTATGTCCTATAGGAGTATAAATGTACAACCGTGGTACAGGCGTAATAAAGTCTGTCATCTCATTTTGTTGCATGGATGTCGTAAAAGCTGAGTATGGGAAATTTCTGAACGATCCTGACGGCCCATGATAGACGACATGTTTATACCGGCAGTAAGCAGCACCGAAGTTGCGATACGCTTCTTAAAATTCCTGAACTTTAAACAAAATACTAAGCCTACGGTTTAAATATATACAGATATCTTGATTAAAAGTTTTATATTGTTACACTAAATTTTTAATTTCGTAAGGACAAACTTAATGAAAATTTTATTATACATCCAACAGAACTGAGATGTTTTTTAATCAAAATCATAAATCAATGCCAGGCATGTTAAACGCTGATAATATTAAAAAAACGATGGAGAAAAACATGCCACCAGTGCGAGAAATTCTGAATATGGCTTCTCCGAGATATATCAAATCACATCTGCCATTATCTCTTCTACCACCCAAGCTGTTGGACACTTGTAAGGTTTTTTACGTAGCTCGAGACCCCCGTGATGTAGTCGTGTCATTTTATCATCATAAAAAATTTTTGAACGTACTCCAAGATGGCGTGGACTTCAAGGCTTTTTGGGAACTATTTATTATTGATTTGCGTAAGTATAAAATAGTTCTGTAGATTTAGTTTCTTATTCGATATACGTTTTATAACTTAAATATTTATTCGTAAAGCGCCCATCTTTATAAGGTCCATTGTGGAAGGCATTTTATTACTAACAAGCAATAGCAATGCCTGTTTTTTACCAAGTTAGTGTGAAAAACTCGCGGTGGCGGGCAAAACAACTCACCAAAGTTGCATGATAATCGTATTAACTGGATGGAAAGTTATAGCAGACAAGCAATCGAACAAACGTTTTTGTTATAAACTATCGAACCTCACGAAAGTTTCCGGGAATCGAATGAAAGGTATCAAATACAAAAAAGCAAATAAACAAACAAAAAAACGGACTTTTATATATATATATAATTCATTTTAAATACTGGTATAATTATAATATTAAATTTAAATATATTTAAAATTTTACTATAAGCAGTGTAGATGACGTTTTAACCTTTTTGATGAAGACAAGATAATGTCGATCTTTTCTATTACTAGCATTATTTTTTAATATTTACAAAAGATTACAAAAAATTCAGTGAAACTGTAACGCTATATCCCAAATATTTCACAATTTTATTGATAAGTGCTAGCGCTATTTATATACATTTTTTATCACTGACTCCTTGTACAGTTCGAAATCTTTGATGTCTACTTAACACAGATGGTTCAACCCTCAAACGAATCCTAACATTTGATGTGTAAAGGGGTCGTTCGTGCGTCTTGAATAGTTCAGCAGTGTACACTCGACGACCCACGGTGGTGGCAATAAATCTAAACCACCTCAAAGAAGTGTGACTGAGAGGTCATCAAGTGAGTTTGCTCAGAATCGGGTGAACATGATATTTATTTTGATGCAAGAAAGTGAGACGATAAACTGTTATAAATGTGACATATTTAAATGTCCTGAAATAGTACAATTTGAAGGCTCTGTTTCATTCTTTTTTTTTTTTTTTGAAAAATGAAGAGATTACGTTTCCCTGTTTTAAGTCACTGATGTGGTTTGTATATTACAGTTCCCTGGGCGCCATTCTTTGAACACGTTAAAGAAGCGTGGCGAATGAGGAACCATCCTAACATGCTCTTTTTGTTTTACGAAGACCTTTCTAAGGTAAACTGTTTGAAATGTAAAACTTGAAATAATTTTTCGATTGCAGCATCTATTTCTTACCATTTGGGTAAATCTCATTAGCAATCAGATTCATTTTTTTACATTTTAATCTCGAGATAGAGTTGTTGCTGCTTGATTTGTAATTATCGTCCCTTCTCTAACACTAAAATAGAGTTTGCATTTTGATCTTGTCACGTTATATGGATTCGGGTAATTCACCAATTAGTATACACATAAGTGAAAGCATCACAAAATATTGGAAAGATATCTATATTTTAATTATTACTTCCAATACTATTCAACTGGAGGTAATAACTACAACTATTATATTATGATATGTGTAGCTAATGGTAAAATGGATAAAGTGAGAATCAACAATGTCATTTGATGTATTCTTAGCAACGATTATATTTTTACACCACCGACAAAGCGCAACGCGGACCAACAGCCAATCGGAAGAGAGTAGCCATACACAGGCGTTCCTATCTGTGAAAGTATAAGGCCATGCGGCCATACGTACATTAAAACTAGTTGCAGCCGTAGTGCTCACTTGACTTAACCAAGTTGCGAGGCTGAATCCACGTCCCACAAAAATTCCGAATCGTTCAGTATTTTGCTACAAAAAGAGATCTGCCACGTCAAATTTTGTAAAAGATAGTGTTACCTTTCATATAAAAGTGATTTTTAATCACATTATTGCTATTTACTTATTTATAAACAAAACATTACATTTATAAACAAAATAATAAATAATAATTTATAAATTGTGTTGTAAAAAGTGTTGCTTCGGATCTGTTTACCAACACAGATCGCTCGCCCTCATACAATATTTTTAATATTTTATATATTTTTTTACGTGGTAGAACCATGCTGCAGCTATATTTCTGGTATAGTTGTAACACGAATGGGTCGGCTCGACCGGGGAAGGACCACGCTCTCACAGAATACCAGCGTAAAATAGCAGCTTAATGCTGCTGTGTTTCGTATGGTGAGTGTAGAGAACCTGAGACCCTTTTTACTGGAAACGAGGCATTCCATCTTAGTCCTCACGGGTGACAACGCATCTGCATTTTGATTCGGAATCGAGGATAAATGTAGATGTCTATGGGCCACAGCAAACACTTACCATCAGGTGGACTGTGTGCTCGTTTGTCACCCATATTCTATAAAATAAAAAAAATATGCAGATTGGTCGAACAACTGATCGGAGTCTATCTCTAGTTGTTGTTGTCACCGAGCGATACTGTTATAATGTATCTATGTGTATGTGAAATTGTTAGTTTGTTGTTTTAAATTTTTAGTGTGAGTTTTGTAGTGATAGACGATTGTTTTTGTGTGCGCAGATTTCTTCTTCAGAAGTTCGTTCTAATATTGCTGAGCTATAACAAAGTTTAGTATATAAAATAATTAATTTCAGGATCTGCGAGCATGCGTACGTCGCATTGCCAAATTTCTTGACAAAGAGATAACTGAGGAACAGATAGGAAAATTATGCGAGCACGTTAACATTGATAACTTCAAGAAAAACAAATCCGTCAATTTCGATAATTTGAAAGGTACTGGATTATTAAATGAAAAGGAGAGTTTTATTAGAAAAGGTATGTATTCGTCTTTCTTTATCGGCTTTATTGCACAGCTAAACGTGGCTTTCCTCACTGTTGAAGGCATTTACCATAATTGTTTTTAAATAATTGACTAATTGACCCTTTTTATTGGCATTCCATCTTAGTCCTCACGGGTGACAACGCATCTGCATTTTGACTCGCAAACGAGGATAGATGTAGATGTCTATGGGCCACAGCAACCAGTTACCATCAGGTGGACTGTGTGCTCGTTTGTCACCCTATCCTATAAAAAAAATTGCCACGATATATAATTTATCTATCGCACAGTCACACAAGTAATAAAAATACTTTAAGTATGTATCAAAAGTATTTGTTAATATTGTGTAATGTGAGCAATATCGGCATAAAACCGATGTTAAGCTCTTTATCATGCTTTATATAGTAATAATTTAACTTTATCAAATTTTATATGGCATATTTATTGTAAAGGGTTTAAGTTTGTTTTTATCATAAATCTGTTTATTGCGGATGATGGATTTTTAACATTAATTGTACATATATACAACAATCTTAAATATTAAATAGCAAAATTTATTCTCTTACTATGTAATTTCAACGGTTTCTGAAAATCATAAATAGACATTCCTCGCTCCTTATTTCTGACTTTCCTCTGCATTACCGATACAGAAACGCGCCAAAGAAAAAATTTCTCTGAATGTTATTGGTTACTTTTAAATATGTAATATTTTTTGGTGATGCCTGAAATAAAGATATTGTATTGTAATGAAGTGAAGAACCGTGTGAAACATTCGTTACATAATTTCGCCTTGTGGGTGCCATAAAAGAGGTTATCAAAGAATTTCTGGCCTTTTCGACTTCGCGTCCTCCGGCATATAAGATGCTATACCACCAACTACCAGATCTTAATTACCCACACCGGTGACTGGAATAACGTTAAAGTTTCCCGACATCTGATACTGTAACCAAAATGGCCACATTTCGTGATGTTTACGACAAATATTTCCTACAATGGATGAAATACATTTCCAACTGAGGACTATTAAATGTCCATGTAGAATGTTTTTATTTGGTTACCGTATTTTTAAATAAACAAGGGTGACAAACGGGCATACAATACACCTGATGGTAGGTGAATGCCATCACACTATAGACATCTACATCTATCCTCGATTAAGTATCAAAATGCGTTGTATTTTTTTTTAATAATGGGAACGCTGTATCACATTAGTTTGTGTCAAAGAAAAAAAATTCGTGAATGTGTGAAGTCAAAAACATGCGATTGGGGCAGTGGCGTAGTGGCAGTAGAAAAGAAAGCTGAAAATGCCGCCCACATCCTTCTTCCTCACTGTCTCAAGTACCTTTTAAAAATAAAAATTGCTAAGAAGTCTTCTATAGTCTTTATATAATATATAATCCCGCAGCAGGTAGCAAGTAATTCGAATGATTGATTGTGAATTTACTTGACTGACGAATTGTGGACTTACTACATCTAGTTTGAACTCCTTGGTGGTCCCATATGAATTTGACGAAATATATGCACTTTTAAATAAACGAGATGAAATGTGATAATGGAATGCTATTTAGACATCATCATAATTGTAACCGTGTAGTTGTAGTGTACGAAAATTCACTACTCCATATCGTCCCCTATGTGTCCTAACAACCAACAGAGGGAAACTAAACCAGAAGGTGGGCGACAGCATCTTCCTGTTTACTAAAAATTATACAAAGTACGGTTGTCAATGAGCTTGCCCAGCGTGGCAATGTATGTGCAGCATTTTACGTGGTAGAGCCATGCTGCAGCTATATTAGTAGTATAGTTGTAGCACGAATGGGTCGGCTTGACCGGGGAAGGACCACGCTCTCACAGAATACCAGCGTAAAATAGCAGCTTAACGCTGCTGTGTTTCGTATGGTGAGTGTAGAGAACCGGAGACCCTTTTTACTGGCCAAAGGCATTCTATCTTAGTCTTCACGGGTGACAACGCATCTGCAATTTGAGTTTATATTGAGGATATATGTAGATCTCTGTGGGTCACAGTAACCACTTACCATCAGGTGGACTGTGTGCTCGTTTGTCGCCCTATCCTATCAAAAAAAGCATTGGACTTTTATAGGATGTAATGGACGGATGGATAGTTACAACATAAAGTTGACGATGTTCCTTAGTCTGGGCTTGAATTTTTTGACACACTTTCTTAGTCCCGACTTTAGAAGCTATTACGTAGTGTTTTTTTTAAGTTCTTTAAAGTCGATTTTTACTAATTAATTGTAAAAAAGTTTAATTATACTCTATAAAACAACTTGGCTTTTCATAAAATTATTTCAGGTAAAGTTGGCGGTTGGCGAGACTATTTTGATGAAGAGATGACGGAACAGGCACAACGATGGATAGAGGAGAACTTGCGTGATACCGACTTGCGTTTTCCTCAATAAGAATTTCAATAAATTTTTATTCATAATATAATAATACGATTATTTACCTAACTTCGTAGAGGCGTAAAAAAGCTTGGATATAAAATTTGAATAAAGTGTACAATACATCAATCCTCGATTAAGAATCAAAATGCAGATGCGTGTCACCCCTGAGGGCTGATATGCCTCGTTTCCTAGTGTTAGTACTAGGAAAGACCTGTATGACTAATCACTAGACTCTCGTCCCTTATTAGCCGCGTATCTACCTAGCGCACATGCTCGCGCGGCAGCCTCGCGAGCCAATGCCTTGGCTGATGTGGACGTGCCTCGGGCGGACGTTTCCTCGGCCGAGCGCCGCTCAACCGCGAGCCATACGTTATTGGTAAACTTGACGCGCTCAAAGGTGCCTCAATGATCGCTGTTCGTTTGGTGTGTACGGTGCTATTTTGGCTCACGAGGCTATATAGTGTTTGTTTAGTTTTACTGAAAAATTGTACTGAAAATTAAGAAATCGAGGTTTAATGTACATACTTTTTTACGTGGTAGAGCCATGCTGCAGCTATATTTAGTTGTATATGTGATATAGCACGAATGGGTCGGCTCGGTCGAGGAAGGACCACGCTCTCACAGAATACCAGCATAAAATAGCAGCTTAATGTGTTTTGTATGGTGAGTGTAAACTGGATACCCTTTTTACTGGAAACGAGGTATTCCATCTTAGTCCTCACGGGTGACAACGCAAGACGCGATTCGTAATCGAGGATAGATGTAGATGTCTATGGGCCACAGCGACCACATACCATCAGGTGGACTGTGTGCCCATTTGTCACCCTTATACTATAAAAAAAACTATACGAGATCCGAGTAAGAGTGAGAAGGCATCATCGGAGAATCATTATTCTTGCACTCTCTCCATTTTATGATCTGTTCCTTAAAATAGATTTTTTAGAATTTACCTACTTTGTAATTAAATTCAAAACCAGGAAGTATTTTTTTATAAATTTTTTAACATTATTATGTATTCCTTAAAAATAAGTTGAAGATTTCTTTTAACAGTCACGACGTTAGTAAATATATTATACCGATTCCAAATGTCATGAGTCGTAAAAAATGACATAATGGTATTGATTTTGAAATTTAACGTTTTTTTTTATAAACATTTGGCTTACAAATTATTAAAAAAAACCGTCACTACATGTCAAGTAAATTTTTTGAATTTCGCAACTTTGAATCGACCCAGATAAACAAATGATACAATTCTTCAATGTTTTCTTGAATGAAATTAATTCAAAATCCTGATATAATTTATATTTTTAAGGGGTGTTATAATATATATATATATATGTATATATATTAATTTCAAAGCTTACCAATTACGGAAACTTCAAAGTAGACTAGCAGAATTTTCCGCTTTTAGAATATGCTTGCTAAATCCCTCGGTTGATTCATCTAGTTCAGAAAATGTATAATTTCCAGTCCTTATTTCTTCTTATTCGTCATCTTCTTCACGATAATATTCCCTTTCATCATCATCATTATCATTAAGTGGATTATCATCTTCTAAATCTATTTTTATAAGTGAGGGGGCAAACGAGCATACGGCTCACCTGATGGTAAATGACTACCGCCGCCCAATAACAACACCAGAGGAATTGCAAGTGCGTTGTTGATGCGTTTTCGCAACTTTGGCCATGGCAACTTTTGCAAAATTAGTTAAATTTCAAACCAATTTTCTTACAGCTACATCTAGCTGATGTGCAGTTATTTTTACAACCACAAAACACCTAATAATTTATTTATATTAGAACATGTATTAAGAAAAGTAATAAATTTTAACCTAAGTGCACATACTTTTTCAATAAGTTCCTGTGGTGCTGAATCTGAAATTGGCATAATAGGCAACATCATAAATAATGTCTCTCCGTCCCCATTCTTCATGTTTCAAAGTCTTGCCCAACCATATTTGAATTTGATAATATACACGTTTTGTGTGTTCACACAATAATGATTCTGTTGGTGGTAAAGAAGCTAATACAACTTCTTTTTTTAAATGCAGCTTCTGAAGATAAATTGTATCTTAAATCACCAATCTTTAAATTATCAGCATGGTGATGGTATATTATTCTTCTAACTCTTTAACTGAGCTATTTTGTTCGTAAAAAAACTGTTATCAATTGCTGTAGTTCCAGTTTCTTCTTTAATAAAAAGAAGATGTTTTTCCCCTTTTTTAAAGATCGCACTTGTTGTGTTGCAGCCGGCAACTGCAAATGCATGTGCAAAAAGCAAAATTATTTTAAGTCTCGGTTATTCTACATTGAATACAGAATATTTGCATTTCTTCCAGGACTTTTTGAGAAAATAGATGTTTTCAGAATCTGAAGAAAAGAAAATTAATAAAATTAGTAAGTCGACATCATTTCCAACTATCGTAACAGGTTGATTTGCAGATTTTACTTTCAATTCTATAGCTGTTCTAACAACCAAAAGATCTGCATCTTCTTCGGTAATACTACAATTTATCTTCTTCCGTTCCAAATAATTACTCAATCAATCAACAAACTTCTGTTTGCTTGCAATATTTCAAAGGAGTTTTGTTTGAGTTCATATTTCCATTATTACCATTTCTTTTAAATGTATTTGAAGATCATGGATTAATGATAAAAACTGTTAAATCTGGACTATATAAGATTTTTGATTCATTTCTGCAATCACCAGCACTAAAATTAAATTCCATTCATGTAATCGATAAAGGATGATTATAGCATCATGTAGTTTGGCCTCATGGAAAAAGAGACATCAAAATTTTTCATGATTATTTTACATTCATCGTCAAACACGCGAAATCAGTTCACGTAGAACAAAGTTATGAGGTAACAAACATAAAAAAAAACATACAGCCGAATTCAGTACCTCCTCCTTTTTGAAGTCGGTAGGAAACAAAGAGTGTAAAGAGTATAAAGTAAACGTATCACATTAATGTATCTGGAAAGCGCTTATAGAGCAAGGGGTAGAGAATTTCATAATGGTGGTAATAAAAAGTACTCGTATTTATAATAACAACACGGGCAGAGTAAAATTGCAAAGAGTCGGTCCAAGCTTTCCCATTGAAAGAGGAGTGAGACAAGGCCACCCGACATCCTTCGGGGACTGTTCAGGGGCTGTTCATTGCCATCATAGAGTTGATAATAAAAAAGCTGCATTAGAAAACTAACGGCATACACGGAAAATATCTAAACTACCTTCGATTTGCTGACGACTTGGTGCTTTTATCGGAATCAAGTTCGCAATTACAAGTCATGATCCAATCACTTAATGTGACTAATAAGCAGGTAGGGTTAGAGATGAACCTCGTAAAAACTATGGTAATGACAAACAGCGTGGAAAAGACAATATTTGTCGATAACGAAATATGGAAATATACGAACAAATATATAGACTTAGGCAAACAAATTGGCTTCGATAAATAGAGTAACTATTCCGAAATCGAGAGGCGTATTTCACTTAGAGTAAGTAAGTACTGGAGCCTAAAGGAAATTTTTAAAAGTAATATGCCAGTCAAAATCAAAACTAAAGCCATGTCGAGCTGCGTTATACCGTGCCTAACTTATGCATGTCAGAATTGGATATACTCAGACTTTTGTCTGTGTATGTCCAAGTCAAAGAAAAAAAATTACCACGTGTCAACGGAGCCTAGAACGAAGCATGCTAAAAATTAGGAAAATCCAATACACAAAATAAGTCACACTAACTTAAGAAGCATATCTAACACTACAACTATACCAAAAAAACTGAAATAAAGTGGGCGGGGCAAGTGGCGAGACTGTCAGACGAGCAGTGGGCCATAAAGCTTCGTGTAGATCTACAGACATTAAGCGTGCCAGACACGTGGCGTGGCAGACAAAATAATATTCTTTTATACACTATATATAGATATATTCACATGTAGCGCACGCAAGCGGAGCGTGTTTGCGCAGACACGGGCCGGCACCGGCCTGCATACTCAACAAGAACGTTTTGTCTGTGCCAGTGCGTGTCTGCGGGTATCTGTTATAGTTGCGCGGCTAGTATGAAACTTTCTTTTTCTTTATCTTAGTCGTTCTTCTACACGACCCGTTTCTTCCCGTTCAAGAAAAATTGCCATCACGGCTAATTCTTCTATCGAAAAATTGAGGAACATGGTAAGCATGTGCACTTTTTAGTTTGCCTGATGGTGCATGGACAGTCATGCCGGGTGTGCGAAATGTTTATACTGTTGTCTGTGCGATGTCTGCCACGTTACGTGCTGGGCACGCTACGTGCTAGTAGTATCTGAACGAAGCTTTAGGGTGACACGGTGGAGAGGTCCAAGCGGAAAACGCTACAGAGGGAGACCGCTTACAAGATGGGCGGATGATATAAGCAAAACAGCCGGCCCGAGCTAGATGCAAAAAGCCGAAGATAGAGAAAATTGGGACTCTTTGGAGGAGCATTCTTGCAGATTAATTATTTATCGTAATCCTAAGCTTAGTTTATTTATCTTGTTATCTTAGCAAGAAATAAAATGGTTTTGATTTTTTTTTCTCTTATTTATTTATTTATTATAGTTTCCTTATTTGTTCTTCTGTCATTTCACTGTCGCGAAACTTGGCCATGCATGCTGGAAGATCCTACCTCAAAATAGATTATCATTTATCGGCGTAGGTACATTTGGTTTTAGTTATAAATATGATTCCACTCAATATTAAAAAAAATTCAAAACTATAACATACAAGCTTTTGCCCACGGCTTCACCTGAATGGAACTCTGAAATCGTCATCCTTTCTGAAAATCACAGTCTATGTTCACCTTTATTATATCGTAGCTTTTACCAGCGACTTCGTGAGCGTAGATGTCATCTGAATGTCATCATTTCAAGTAGATTCAGCTTACAGCCTTTTTATTGTAATAGTATAAGTTATTTATCATAACCTTTAGCAGCTCCAATAGGAACAATGGCCTATATAATCTTTTCCCTGGACTGTGATGTGCAGCTTGATGCCGTT